ACACCAAGCGTAATCATCACCTCACTTACATGAGGGGTATACACCCACAGGTGTGCGTTGCGAGCCATCCAATTTTCAATCGGCTCCTCCGGATTGTGAAGCTGAGTACTAGTGGATGCAGCCACCGAATTCTTTTGCTCATCAGCTTCTACTTCATCCAGAATACCTTTTTCACCATCTTTTTGTGACACATTGGTCATTTGCAGCGCTTTTGGTGCCGAGGATGAGGAAGATTCAGCTCCCCCACTCGCAGGTGGCTGAAAAGTGCTTCTATTCGTAAGCTCCCATCCTCTCTCTTTTTCAAACCGGACCTGATTGGCCACCTGTACCAAGTGTTTCAGGAGCGACAGCCGCTCCTCTGACATCTCGTCATGGGAGTACTTGCAGAAATTTAACCCTTTCCGGCAACGTCCTCTGAGGTAATAATCGAAACAGCAATGGTGGAACCCTGCGTCCCTTAGTGACTTCCTGGAAGCATTGTCCCAAGCTTTGCCGGGCTCCCAAGTCCCTTCCAATGCTATGTCATCGTTGTGAAGATACCTGCATGTAGTCCCATATTTACAACCACCTTGATTGTAATACAGACACAGACGACCTTTTGGCTCACCCGACGTAGGCTCACCCTTTGATGCACCTTTGCCAAAATTGTACTTGGCCCGGAAGGCTAAATCCTCCCGCTCCTGCTGTGCCTCATCCACTGTACCTTCCTCTGTGGGAGGGTCACCGATGTTCCCGTCCTCATCATCAGCTTCTTGGCTATTCTTTGGATCAGTTGACCCCCCTTCTGGCCAACCTTCACCGTACCGACGATGCTCATAGGGACACCCATCGCCATTGCGACACCTTCCCTTATTGAAGAACCTGCACAGCTTGCTGTAACCAGGTGACAACACCGTCTTTGGTGTCATGTAAGCCTTTTTGTACTGGTCAGGATCCATGTAGGCTTCCATTGGCTTGTTCTCCCTTTTGCTCATGGATTGCACTGCACCATCAAGCTCCTGCAAAAATAGCTTGGTATCCAACCAAAGCGCGTTCCAAAACTCATCTTCCCCTTGATTCAGCACCGTTGCCACCGCTTCACCCACAACTGGTCGAGAAAATCTCCTTTTTCTGCATGCCAGTTCGAAAAGCGCGTTGTGGTACTGTTTTCGGGAAAAAGTGGTTAACTTCCCCAAGCCTGTGCTTTCTGTACCATCAGGCTTCCAACCATCATTTTGCAAGATGCCATACGCGCGCCGAGCTTCCGCATTGAGGAATGCCTGATCCGCAACACACTCCTGTAAATCTTCCATCGGCCGACCTAACAGCATCCCAGTAATTTTGCCAACATAGGCTTCCTCTTCATTTCCATTCTGGAGAGAGCTTTGTAGATCTTTTCTCCATAAAGTTGCCTTTCTTTTCGTTCTTCAGAAGACAACTCCTGTACCACAAGCTCTTCATCGGATTGCTCTTCCTCCTGTTTCCAGTCCCATTGACCGTTGGAATCTTGGTACCATTGACCAGCATACCATGAATCCGTCCACCACGTACTCCAGCCGCTGGGTTTCCACTTCCGCAGCGTCGAAGAAGAGTCCTCCGTGCCCTCTTCCAAAACCAGAAAGGTGTCCAAGATTATGGTACCATCATCTTCCACTCGTTTCACTGTTCCATTGACAGTATCACCAAACTTGAACTGATATGCATTGTTCCCTTCTGCAGGAATCAATACATTCATATCCCCATGGTCCAAAAAGGCTCCATACCCATTGATGCAGCGCACTAGACCCATGATCTCATCTCCCTCTTGATAGCAATGTGGCCCAGGTGACTCCAAGGCTCCCGCTCGGGGCACTTTCTTTACACGCTCTTCAGAAACCATCTCTGTATCATCGGCTCCTGGCGCATCCTTTGTCTTCACCTTTGGGTCACACTGCTCGTCCTGCTCCACGAGTCCCACAAGCTCATCTTTTTTGTGCTCCTGGATTTCAGGACCTCCCTTTTTCTCCGCCAACGGCTTTGCCTCATCTGCTGTAGTTCGCTCGGTGTCGACTTCCGGTGAACTTCCAGACGGCAACGCTTCTCCCTTCATGGGAGTGGACCCATCATTGGAGTCCTTTGTCTCACCTTCTGCAGCAGGCAAATCTTCTTCCACTGCAGGGCAATTGAGTCGATCATCCACGGCAGGCACGCTTTCTTCCACCGCAGGCTCCTTTGGTTCCATGGCCTCCAAAGGAGAATTTCCACCATCATTGACTACAGCTGCCTCATTGGCTCCGGTGTGGCCCTTGTCATTTCGTTCCTCGCTGCTAACTTCAGGTTGCACCAGTGCGTCCACCTGTGAACCTCCATCATCAGCTGCTGCGGAGACCTGCGCCCCATTGTTGCAGTCGCCCGTGGAACGTACCACCACATGCACCTCAACCCGTGCTTCCTTCGCACTCCAGGTAATATCTGGCGCATCAACCCGCGCATCATTGGCGCTCCAGGCCTCATTTTTCAGATCATCCGTGTCTCCAGCTATTCCAGAAGCTTCTTTTTCCCCTTGAATGGCAGAATTCTTGGCACCAAACGAAGAGACCTCCTCAGTCGTAACACACAACTTTTTCTCTCCATCCTCCGAATCTCCAGGACCACCTTCCTGAACAACAGGTACCACATCCACCACTCGCTCTTCTGCAGCCGACACAGTTCCGATCACCTCATTGGGCATTTTCTCTTCTGGATCCACCAATTCCATCGCTGCCCCACCCTCAGAAAGCGCTTCTGTTTCTTCCCGATCCAGGTGTTGAGCTCCAGCGATGTTGGCTTGGTTCCCAGGAATCCCTTCCTCATCAGGAGAACCCGAGGTCGGGGCGTCACCATCAGCCCTAGGACCGCTATCCCTGATAGTAGAGGAAAAATCTTTTTCACCTAAACTATTTACACTACCCTGGAATGCCCTCGTAGACTCAGTCTTCGGAGTAGAGGATGAAGAATCCAGTGCCGCCTCCATTTCCAGCTCATTGCCCAAAGGAGACCCAACCACCTCGTCACTCTTCACCTTTTCACCTACCACCGGCAATGTCCACTTGGTTTCGTGCGTATCCAGGCAGTAATAATATTGTCTCCCATCTTCATGGAGGTGCAATTCCCACATTGTGCCATCACACGCTTGGATCAGATGCTCGTCTTTCCGAAAACCGTCCCTTTCAGAAACCTGTCGCATCTCGTCCTCTTCTTCTGACAGCTGTCGCAACCGTTCAGCCTCCATCTGTAGGATCTCCTCCTCCCCCATGGCGTATTCAGCAGCAGGTGCAGCTTCAAAGCCGTCCGCACCCTTCTGTTTGTGACCGCTTCCACCACCTTGGGAACTCGAAGATGGACCCTTTTTGATCTTGTTCAACGGCCTCCTGGTCGCTTGTAGCACTTCTCCAATCAGATCGGTCTGAGACTCTTGGTCTACCATTCGACCCGAAGTCGAAGACGACGGCTGGTACCCGTGTTTGTGTAACACTCGTAAAACAGTCACCTCCATTTCACGATCTATGCCACCAGTCGCATCCCAGTTCCTTTTTTCACCAGGCTTTGGCGGTACAGAAACAGCACGTCCTTCAGCTTCAGCATTGCTAACCATATCCCTATTGGGATTCATACCCGCATTGGGGCTTTCTGCAACCAAGGCCTCTTCCAGATGTACTTCAGCGTCGGGAATCACCTCTTCCAACACCGATCTTTCACCCAGAGACTCAGCTGCACCATTTCCAGCTCCACCATCTTGTCCACCATCCGAGGCAAGTTGGAGCCATCGCTTCGGAGAAGGCATTGCTTCTTGATCCCAAAACCTTGAAAGAACACTTAACCGCAGGGAACCTAATTGGGCTCATAACCTACGGGGGGACAACCAAGGAAGGAAATCAACTCCCCTAATCGCCCTGAACTTATATTTCCCAGATCGAACCAAGAAACAACCAAGAACACGGATAAGAGCAACCCAGGGGGGAAGGAAAGGGGGAAGGAATCCACACCCTTACCAAACCCTAAGAACCCAGGCACTTCTTTTTGAACTTGTGGCTTTCTGTTCAAGCCCATCTTGAGCCTTGAGCCAAATACGATTACCGGGTTCATTAACCCTTCCAACTTCCAACACTAACTCCTTTCTACAATACCAATTGCAGCTCCGCATAGGGTTTAGGGTTTAGGGTTTAGGGTTGGTTTAGGGTCTGGAAACCCTAAGTCGGCGGGGTTCCTCAAAACCATGAACCGTGTATACACCCATGATCGCAAAGCATGTTGATTCGGGGTTTGGCCTGATATTTGGGTTTCAGGGTTTCGGGTTTGCGGTGTCGGCTGATGTTTGGGGTTTAGGGTTTAAGATTTGGGTTGCGGGCTGACATGTTGGATATAAGGTGTGGGTTGATGATGGGGCTTAGGGTTTGGGCTGACATTCGCGTCTTAGGGGTTTAGTCCTTGGTGTTTCGGGCTGGAGGGCGCAATGTCGCCTTAGGTCCCGTGTCTAAGTCTTTTCAGAACCTCCGGAAACGCCGAGAGAGTCTTCCCTAAACCCTAAACCCTAAACCCTAAACCCTAAACCCTAAACCCCTTGAGCTGAGGTGGAGCACCCCTGTTTACTACGGCCCGCCAGCGAGCGGCTCTCCCGAAGTGGTTCCGAGTTTAGGGGTTTTGGGTTCCAGGTTTAGGGTTTAGGGTTTTGGGTTTCGTGTTTAGGGCTCCGTGCAGACCCTGTTCAAAAGATGTTGTGTGCTCTTGGGTGTAGGCAAGGCTCATGGTTTCAAGGAGGTTCGGGATGAGGGTTCAGGGTTTCCAGGCCCTAAACCCTAAACCCCGTGGTTTTGGGAGTTTTCCGGTTAGGGTTTAGGGTGTGGGATCTGGGGCTTAGGGTTCCAAATTTAAACGAGCCGGCAGGCGTGGGCACCTCAGGGTTTGGGTTGTTTTTTTGGCTGTGTTTTAGGGTTTAAGGTTTAGGGTTTCGGGGTAAGGAAGAGACTGCTTTGTGAGGTGCATGGGCCATTCCAACCTCCTCGATGACGCCAGCGTTCCCAGCGGCAGTGCCGGTACAAAACGTGCTCGCAGCACCCGTGATATCTCCGCCGCCCAACGTGAGCTGCGACAAGTGCGACGGCGCACATGCAACCGAGAAGCTCGCTCGCGCCATAGTGCAACGTGTTCTTTTTTTCTCCAGTTTGGTTCTTTTGCGTCAGAGGAAGTGACCAAGCTTAGTTTCATGTGACTCCCCTCGTTGCCAGAGAAGAGGCACTGTCCTCACTTCCACAAGCCCAGAGAGAAGCACGCGGACGCGTGGCGCCTCGTGTGGCAGCTGGCCCTGGCATCCCTACTCCACTCCCCTATTCATGAAGAAGCAGCATTTAGAAGTAGATTAGTTTGCCGGAAATAGGATTTGTTTATTGTCAAGAAATCAGAAAACGGTGTTACGGGGGGATCACCTAAGTCAAGGACGCGCGCTGCAATCTGTTTTTGTTCCCTTGGCATGCTCAAAATGATGGCAGCAAGGGCAGGGGCCACCACATGGCCGTCGCACACGAAACAATAAACGGCCCTAGGCCTTGAACTCTTCGCCCTTAAGCCCTATAAACCGCCCCCAAAACCCGAGGCCTACCCTAAACCCTAAGCCCTATAAGCCCTAGAACCCTCAACCCTAAGCCTTAAACCCTAAACCCTCAACCCTAAGCCTTCAACCCTAAACCCTAAACCCTAAGCCTTAAACCAAGGCATTTCAAGGGCAAGAGCCACCTTGTCGCCACCAACCAGCCAGAGGAGGTCAAGGTCGTGAGCCGGGCGCGCGTGGTGCGACATCCCGGAGACGCCGGGATGTGTTTTTGGCATTGCCATTCTTGTCTATTTTTTTGTTGAAGCCTCATCCCTTCATGTTTTAAAAACCCAAAGAGTTCCTAGAAGCCCTATAGCCTCAGGAATTTTGTGAAGAGATCTGTTTTTAAGGGCCCCCCCCAAAATCGGCCCTAGGACGGCTCCTGTCTCTACCACTCCGTGTCCTACGGGCTCGGAGACGGCAGCACCTGGGTGGAGCTTGGATTATAGGGTTTTAGGCCTTTAGGGTTATTGGATTATAGGGTTTTAGGCCTTTAGGGTTGTAGGGTGTGAGAGCTTTTAGGCTCCTAAGGTTTTCGGGATTTCGGGTTTTAGGGGTTTTCTGGATTTGGGGTTTTTGGGGTTTAGGCTTTTAGGGTTTTCGGGAACTTTCGGGGTTTAGGGTTTTAGGGTGTTAGGGTTTTAGGGTGTCAGGGTGTTAGGGATGAAGTGTTTTAGGGTGTCAGGGTGTTAAAGTTTTAGGGTGTTAGGGTTTTAGGGTGTCAGAGTTTTTGGCTTTTCGGGTTTCAGGGCTATAGGGTTTTAGGGTTTAGAGGTTTCGGGTTTTCGGGCAATAGGCATGACGTGAAGGTTCATGGGTAGTTCACAGTTGGGCGACAAGTGCCCCAAGGTGTGGTCAGAGCTTGTTAGTTATACCTCTAGCTACCTGATGCAGCACCCCAGTTTTAACCAGCCATGAACCTCCAAGTACCCTAAACCCTAAACCCTAAACCCTAAACCCTAAACCCCAAACCCCAAACCCTAAACCCTCCCCACAGGGTCGGCTACGCCCGCTGAGGCACGGCAAGCATGCTCCGCAAGCATGTGGCTGACATCATAAGCGCCTATCCGAACATGTGCCCTGGAAGCTTACAACCATCCTGGTTAGCATGGGAGTTTTTTTCGCTGTCTCCATGTGTAAGTAGCTTTTTTGTAACGTTTTTGAAGCCTTAAGGTCTATGCACTATAAACTCTAAACCTCGCATCCCAGGCCCATCCTCAACACCACGTTGTCGGAGTGGATCCGGATGGATGCAGACGTCGGCGTCCGCGCGTACGTCCAGGACCTTCTTGGACACAGCCTTACAGTACACTCCAAGACCCAACCCTACACCTAGACCCTACTTGGAGGTTCAGAGTACTTACTAACCCAATCATAACTGTATACTTATAGCCCAGTCATCACCTTGTTAGGGCACTTGAGGGGGCTCACAAGTGGGTGAGAAGCATAGTTTTAAGTGGTTAAAAAGTACCATGAAATGCAAGCCCTACACCTAAACCCTAAACCCTAAACCCGAAACCCTAAACCCCAAACCCCAAACCCTAAACCCTAAACCCTAAACCCTAAACCCTAAAGCCTAAGCCCTAGACCCTAGACCCTAGACCCTAGACCCTAGAATCTAGACCCTAAACCCTACACCATCTTTTATAAGTCCTGGGTCCAGGATCTCCTGGCTGGAGCATGGGGCGGTGGCATCGAGCTGGCCGTCATCGCCCAAACAAAGAAGGCGAGGGGCTGCGGGTCCTTTAGGTTCAGTTTAGGCAGGGTTTAGGGTTTAGGGTTTAGGCCGATTAAGGACTGTTAGTATACGCGGGAACATCTCAAGGTTTGGGCTCACTGTTTAGAGGTCTGTGGGTGGTGCTCCAGTTCCCCGTGTCAGAGCCCTAACGCACGAGAGCCTGCAGCGGAATGAGGGTGAGGCGGTTTAGGGTCCCTTTTTTCTGGTCGGGAGCCCTGAATGAACCCTGAAGCCTCCGAAGCAGGTCCGCATCGAAGTCTACGAGCCCGTCAAGGGCGGCTTCTCGCGCATCGCGCGCTTCGGGACGGCGGGCCGCGTCGTGCCGCTCCTCTACCAGGTGCCTGGTATAGCCCAGTGGTACCCTTTTCCCTTTCTTGGGGTTCAATTCTTAAGGTCCCCTTGTAAAGTATCCAACCCCAAGGAAAAGGGTGCCCATATTACAATATGGTTAGTTTGCTCCTAAAGCAGGTGCCTCGGCCTGCAGGTTTGGGTTTTCGAGTTGTGGCCCGGACGAGTAGGTCCGACAAAACAACTCCAACTTTTCCGAGAGATTGAAGAACCCCAACACCCCAAAGCCCTAAACCCTAAACCCCTAAACCCCTAAACCCCTAAACCCCTAAACCCCTAAACCCCTAAACCCCTAAACCCTAAACCCTAAGCATCTCGGAGCCTCTCATGCCAGGGACGGCAGCACTATGACGCCCTGGTCCTTGGCTGAGGATCTTGGCCCCACTTCCTTGAGCTTGTGGGCATGACCGCCGTATGCCATCCCTAAACCCTACACCCGAAACCCGAAACCCTAAACCCTAAACAGGTTCAACCCCAAACCCGAAAACCTAGTGCTTCTTCTCAAGAGAGCCGGTGTTGACAAGCCAGGGAAGTGGCTGTCGGGCGATCTTCGCAAACGGTGGGAACCCCGCATGGTAGGGGGCATAGTGTTCAGGGATGTGCCCGAATTCATACTCAGCTAAGTTACAACCTTTTTTCTTGCGTACCAACGGGTTTAGGGTTCAGGGTTTCAGGGATGCCAGGTAAGGAGGTTCCCATCATTATGTTCCCATCATTATAAGGGTGTTTCACCGTGGCTTTTCAGGAAGCCTACTGGAACAAGCGAACCGATTTGCTCAGAGCGCTCTGATGCAGATCCCAAGCCCAGCTCTTTCCAGAAATGGAAGGCTGACAGCCACCAGGTTTAGGGTTTAGGGTTCAGGGTTCAGGGTTCAGGGTTTAGGGTTTAGGGTTTAGGGTTTAGGTTTTAGGGTTTTGGTTTAGCCGCTCCAAGTTCTCAACCTTGCTTGGACAGGGCAGGTGGATGGTCAAAGCTGGGGTCGTAAGTCAGGGGCAACTGTACGCGGTTTTAGGGTCTAGGGTTTGGGGTTTGGGGGTCTGGGGTTTAGGGTTTATAGGGTTTAGGGCCTACTCACTCTGCAGCCTGTTGGTGGCACGTCTCACAGCGCCGGCAACGAACGAGTCGCTCCTTTGGATTGATTTCCGTGGGCTTATTTCATGGGTTCCCCTCTACCCCCATCTGGGACACCTAATCACATTGAAGCGGATGTAGGGTTCAGGGGTTCAAACGAGGCTTCCTTGTGAGCCCTATTTTCGTTTTTAGTACTGTATATACTTCGGCCCTACAGCTACATAGGAAACCCTGAATTCGACCCATGTATCTAAAAAGCTGTGTGGACCCTTCCGGCTTTGAACCCAAAACCCCGATGAACAGTCTCAGGTATAGGTGGCGAGGCTTGTTCTAGGGAAGACGTCCTGAAACCCTGGAGCCGGGTCAGGGTTTCGGGTTTAGGGTTAGGGTTTAGGGTTTAGGGTTTAGGGTTTAGGGTTTAGGGTTTAGGGTTTAGGGTTTAGGGTTTAGGGTTTAGGGTTTAGGGGTTAGGGTTTAGGGTTTAGGGTTTTGGGTTTAGGGTTTAGGGTTTAGGGTTTAGGGTTTAGGGTTTAGGGTTTAGGGTTTAGGGTTTAGGGTTTAGGGTTTAGGGTTTAGGGTTTAGGGTTAGGGCCCGATAGGGTTGTCGGGCCAGCTCTCGCCAGGCGGCAGCATCCAAGAGAAGGTGGGATGAGGGCCCAGGGTTTGCAGGATTCAATTAGGGTTTAGGGTTTAGGGTTTAGGGTTTAGGGTGTAGGGTTTAGGGTTTAGGGTTTAGGGTTTAGGGTTTAGGGTTCATAGTTCATAGGGTTTATCAAGTTACTAGGGGTTAGGGCTTAGGAAAGCCTAAACCCCACACCCTAAACCCCCGAAGCCCTAAGCCCCAAGCCGCTAGGACCCGGAGTAGGCCCTTATTTCTTTTTTTTTGGTTGGGGTTCCCTTATAATGCCCTAAAACCAAAAAGAGTACCCTTTTTTTCCTAGGTTACTCCTGCCTCTTCGGACTTAGGCATCTAGGCCCGATTGTTCAGTTCTATGGGTTGGGAAACCCTAAACCCTAAACCCTAAACCCTAAACCCTAAACCCTAAACCCTGAACCCTCTAGCCGCTGTTAAGGCCCAATCTTTCATGCCAAACTAGAAGTCCCAAAGTAGACCTGTTTTTGAAAAAAAAAACCAAAACCGCGAGCCCTGCCCCTTTAAGTACGCGTGCCCTTTTCAGTTTTTGTTTCTTTTTTTTGGGGGGGC